TTGATGTTTCCTTAATGTTTCATAATGTGCACCTATAAAAAGATGAATGAAATCTACTAATTCATTCCAATTTTGATCGTTCATCAATCGATCAACATACTGATATGTGTAAAATTCATCTAAATCAATCATTTGTGCAGGATGTATATAATGCCAACTACTTGGTTCTTCAACTTGTAAAGCTTCTTTTAAACTAAACTCTTCAATGATTCCTTTAGGCGATCGTCTCCAAAATCCTGGTAATATAGTCATGTTGTATCCTAAGCTGAAAATAAGACAAGACAAGGCAACATCAGATGATCCAGCAGACGAATGATTTGGTTGAGGCCAAATAGATTGAACATAAATCGATAAATGAGGATACAATGCTTCAACAAGTGCTGCACTAAATATATGAGCTGTGTTACCTCCAACAAATAGACTTTCGTAAGTAGTTCCATTTTTATGATAACATATTCCTTGACCAATAGAACCTCCAATAAAATATGGCTGTGTAAAATTATATGGTTCAAGTTGTTTGAGAAGATGTGGTACATTTACATAAGTATCACAGCCAACTAACAAATACCATTTGTGACGTTTAGATGGATCTATTTTTTGTTGTTGTCTATAGATTAATTCGAGACCATAGAAAATCTTTTTAGTGTTCGATTGATAATCTTCACCAGTATTTTCTATAATAGTGATAGGTAAACTAGGATAAGGTTTCGAGGAAAGAAAATAGTAATTAGTTACGCGAGATACCCATGTTTCTCTCACTATCGTGGCGCGTGTTTTATATAATGAAGCACCTGTGTAAACAATAAAGGCAACATCGTTTTCTTGATATCTTTTTGCTTTCTGCCAACCACTAGTTGGATTTGGAATTTTTGAGCAATAACCTTTAAGATTTTTGGCCGGATGTATTCGATTTTGTATCCAAGGATATTCTATGATTTTCTTGTTGTAATCGCATACGAAACTGTTACGCAAAGAGATTCCACGGAGAAACATAATTGACGAATTAAACACTCGAGGTAGATAATAAATATCATTATAGTTATATAAGATCCAATGCAAAAATAAATATAGAAACAAACAAATGATAAGATTAAGTATCAATCGAGTACGAGATATGTTCATCTAAAAATAAGTTTTCGAATTAGAATAGATAATATCAAGTGTAATGGTGTCTTTAGCGCAGAAGCGAAATCACTCTATAACAGAAAATATTTATCGTCTATTCAAAAACTTGTTGTTAGAAGCAGCATGAGAATCCACAGATTTCTATAAGCACTTTTCAAATCAGTACAGTTGCCTGCTGCAATTTTTGAAAATTTGTCATCGTCAATAGCGAGTTGAGTAGCAGTATATTGTGATCAGAATTTTTCTTCAGTTCATCTAATCATGATATTTAATGAGAGAATTAGACAATTTATAGTTCACAATAGTTAGTCTGTTGAATTGCTGTTACTGACTGATATTTTTCAACATATATTACTCATAACCTAGTAAAGTCATATGGTTTTGCTCATTTCAGCTTAAATATAAATGAAGAATTTAGTGGCAGACATAAACACAAAAGTAAAAGGAAAAAAAAATCGAAAAATCACTTTTCTGTTAGTTAACAAAAAGAAAAGACAAGGTTTTATTGAATTGCAAAAAAAGATAATTAAGATTAGAATTAAAATTTTCTTTAAATTTTGAAAACAAGAAAAAAACTTAAGTTGTCTAAATTGAGCTCAATATATAAATAAATCTTCAAAAGGATAATATCATGTGGAAAAAAAATGAAGCAAATATGATCTCTCATTTGACTATCGGAAAGGTATAAAGCATTAAAAAAAGATTATTGTGATGTTCTCGATTGAGCTTAGTGTATGTGTCATTATCTACTCTTATCTCTCGATCGAACTAAATGCTCATACATGTTGGTAAGCCTTTGTTTCTCCTTCCTGTATCATATGCTGTCATTTCTTCTTATGCTTCCTTTGTCCTTTTTTCCTAACTATCTATCATTGGGCATCTCTCTCTCTCTTTCTCTTCTCCTTTCGTTTTCGTTTCTACGTAAGAACACGTGTTGATGTATGGAAGTGTGGGGTTTTGTGATATGAAGAAAGGAATAAATTACAACTTCACCCGAATTAACACTTCTTCTATCAGAAACTGTTACAATTGTCTCAGTTATAAATTATAATTCAAATAAGGCTTCCTCCCAATAATTGTGATGGAAACGCAACAACAAATTTATCTTAGTTATAATCATTATATAAATAACGATTTTACTGTAATACATGACATTTAAATACTTATATGAACCTGTTCAAGGTATTATGAGCCTAACTTTAAATATGTACCTATAGATAAGTGTTTTTTGTTCGTATAACTGAACTGTTATATTGGCATCGAGGACTAGAGATCTCATTTCTGTATACACGATGTTATCAAGGTTTCTGTGAAATTCTAGCAAACCTAAAGAAAATGGTTACCTTTAGTCGATTGTATTGGCTGTAGTCGTTTCATTATGGTATATGTATGGAAGACTCCGGCAATCGTATTAAATAATTCAGTGATCTTATCGCTGACTTGTTTAATGCTGAAGTTTCATTGACGACTTTGAAATATTTTTCTGTGACAGGTAAATCTGGATCGCAATTTTTTGTGCTGAAATCAATGTTGCCTATAAGATGTCAGATAATACTGATTATTTTTGTCAAACTTTGAAGTCATCTTTTCAAAAGCATTGCAATATGTTCTTTTTTCATTGAAAGCACAAATAAAATGGTTCGAGAACATATTCTTTACAGTACGTCTTGTTGTATAAAACACTTTTTTTTATACGAAATTCTTTTTTATTGTTTTTTCCATGTTACTTATCACATTTACATCATTCTATGGCACATTTTTCACGTGATTTCTTTACGAAAAATCCTGTAGAGTTCAGGAAAAGTATATCGTAGTCAGTCGAGTAAAAGTTGAAATATAGTTAGTATTCTCAAATTTTTCGTTACAGTGTGCCAAAAGGTTTCAATATAAATCAAATCGATAGAGCATTTGTATATTGAGTATACTTTGATTTTTGCTCCACTGACTTCTATATATTTTTCCTAAAATCTTTAGAACTTTTGGTATTGAATTTACTGGAGAATGTGCAATAGAATAGTGTAAATATGATAAAATAAGTAATTACTATAGATAAATGCATAGAAAATGGTTTGTGCAAGAAAAAAAAACATAATATTACGTTTTCAAACATCTTAGAATACGAGTCTGAATAGTAAATCGAATCATAATTGCTATCGATATAAGAAGAGGTGTCAACGAAATTAAATAGATCGAAGATGATTTTGAGAGAGATACCCATACAGACAGGTAAATGGCAAAACACCGTTCTGATCCATTGACGATGAGAATTGAAGAAAACAATGCTATAAAAATCGTTTACTAGATAAGTTCAAGAAATAAATGCGAGGAAACGGTTATATTCCGTTTAACGCATTTAACGAAGATATTAGAGTAATGAACATATTTTAATGTCTGTATGCAAGGAAATCACAGAAGTTAATGCATTTTAACATAGATATATCATACATTTTAATGAATTGCCATAGAAAAAAATTAATTGAAGAGAAGCTGCTTGTTAATACTGATTAATACAACATTCTATCCAAAGTACACTAAAAGTAAAGAAAACAGCTATCTATTTACTATGGCTAATAGCTTTCACTTCGATTAGAGTACTGAAAAAAAAACAGATTAATGAACAGGAAGAAATTTAATATCAGCTCCAGATTGAAAAAACAAGTTTTTGCATAATAGATTGTAAATTAGTAACTTCTTATATTCTTTAATGATAAATTTCATACAATAAGTTTGTGCAAAAAAAGATGCACGCATGTATGTTGCTAGCGATGAATTTTGCGATACTAATAAAAATATTGTCTTCACTAGTATATTTATATCGGCTTTTCTGTGAAGAATACTACAAAGATGTGTTAAATCATCCAGGGTAAGAGAAAATGAAAATAAACAAATAATTTGACTAGAATCTTTGAAAAAAACGGTCGAGAAAAGTTTGATGATTAATATAACAAAAGATGATATTCAGTGTACAATAAATGCACTTAAACAGTCAAGTGTGTTTAATTCTATTAATGTGATGATATATTTTAGTCAATAGCAGGTAATCTTGTATCTTTATTTAATAATCCATTTCCATTGAATTAAATATACAAGAAAAGCAATAGAAAACATAAAGAATAGTTAACTCGTAAAGAAATAGTTCTAAAAATAATAAATATTTCGATTATTTTTTTCTTTTGACAATTCACTTTTCCCTATTTGATTATCTAAGTAGATTTCACTAGCCAATAGTTATCTAATGCTATGTCATAACACACTAACGTAAGTTGGGAATACTTGTATCATATGTATTTGTATAGCAATCATAATGAGCATCTGATTAGAACATTTTTGACAAAGTCAATTTACAGTAGAATATTTTTGAGTGAATTAAAAATGGAAATTTTTGTATGAATGATTAGAATAAAAATTTCTTTTACTGCATGTCAAGGGAATTTTTTGCATGAATTGAATATACAATTTTTTTAAACTAATGAACAGAATAAAAATATATCTAATTGTATTTTAATAAAATGATCTTCATAAGAAATAGAGACGAAGTCTTTGTATAAGCGAAAGAACCGAATCTTTTACTGAATGACAATAGAATTTTTATGTTTTGCCTAGAAATGAACTTTAAAGTATTGAACACAATGAAAATATTTTTCATTGTTTCTTAATAGAGTTTTCGTCGCACGCACTTAAATCACAAGCTTTTGTATAGATCGAGAGACTATAAAACTCTTGCTGCATGTATATAGAATATTTTTGTTTGAATTAAATATAGAATTTTTTAGAGTAATAAGAAGATTAAATAAAATTATTGAGTACTTATAGAATAGTCTTCACAAGACATAGATGAGAAGCCTACATGAATGAATGATCGCGATCTTTTAATACATATTTACAGAATTTTTGATAAGTGATTTAGGAATAAACTTTTTAAAAAGTAAACAGAATAACATCTTTTTATCGTTTGCAAACTTTATCTACCATTTTTAGGATATAGATAGTTTTTTTCGTTGCCCTATTCGTCGTATAAGGTGTTAGCAATATAACTAAATGAAATAATTTTAAGCAATTAAAGTTTAACGTTCGTTACCCCTAGTTACGCAATTACAACTATTTGTATTTTAGACTCTCTTTTCATTTGCTATTATAAGGCGACAAATTAGTAGCACATGAAATTCATTAAAAAATATATCCACTGGAAGCAGCAAGAGAAAGTAATCGGTGAATAATTGAGTATATGAGTGCTATAAAATACATTGAAATTTTTTTCAATATTGAATACTAATTATTTTTTATTAGAAGATTTCTATGTGTACTCTCACAGTTATCAGAAAGAAAAACGACAAGAGAAAAAGGATTGTTATATATACATATATTTCTAAGTACAGTCGTCTTCTAAAACAAAGTACATATACAGGAAATTAATATAATATATGCAAATTTTGTCAAAAAAAAAATATGAACTGTATTTAGAGGTATATGCATATCGAACAATCCTTTTTTTCATTTTGATAACTGTGAGAGTACATATAGAAATCTCCTAATAAAAAATAACTAGTATTCAATATAGAAAAATTTGCTGTGCTTTATAGCCTAGTCTATAGCACTCAAATACTCATTTATTAACGCATGAAAACGTAAATTTTCAACATGTTTAAACATATGAGAAGCAGAGCTGCCACCAGGCTGGCCTGCCAGGCCATAGGAAAATTTGAAATTCAAATCTGAGTTGATCTGTTTACATTATATTGAAGTAGAATAGGAGACTAGCTCAGACTAGCATAGTTGACCCAATTCATCTTTTTGTTGTGTGAGAAACCTTTGCATCTATCATCAAATTTCTGTAAAAACCCATATTATAAAATATATTTCTGACACAA